AATGATGAAATGAAAGTGATGAAGAGTTTTACCCTTATTCCAGCCAGGCTTAAATGGACACTGTTTTTACAATGATAAACCTATATACAGTTTTACTTAAATGTTTGTTTGTTTCCAAGTGCAGGGGATGAAACTCAGGTCAATCTTGCCATTGTTCAAGCATCATGCAAAGACACTGGTGTTTACAGATGCTCAATTACAAATGAATATGGGACAGACTCCACAGACTTACTACTCAGTCCAGACAGTATGTACTCTTTTACCTCTTACATTTGGCCTGAGTTGCACATTTTCTCTTCATCATTTGGCTGCAATGTGTCTCATCCTGTTTCTTCTCCCACAGTCTTGGTGGGAATGTCCCTACATGAGGACCTCTGTGGTAAGAGAAGACTTCGAATGTTCCAATCTTATCTGCTTTATCTTACTGGCATCCTTACAGTCTTTTGCATGTTCTTATTGTGCAGTTGGAGAAGAAATTGAAATGACACCCCTGATATTCAGTAAAGGTGTGGCTGATTCTGGCGTCTGGGGCAACAAATTATTTGGCCGTATAATGATACAGGAATCTCATATTGGTGACGGCTGTTCTCATAAAGTCTGGCGGGCAAAAGTCATCTATGGTCTGGAGCCTGTGTTTGAGTCTGGTAACACATGTATCATTAAAACATGCAGCCCTATCGCCTATGGAGGCAAGGAAGAAAGCCGCCTTATAGACAGAAACCTGGACATGATCAAACAGGTATGGAGAAATGTTAATCATGTCTTTTTAAATCCAAATCAATCTGCATTAAAGTGGATCAGTCAGGTGCCATCCCTGCCACCCTCACTGGCACTAATCACATGAAGACAGTACATTTACCTGTGCAGGCTGAGCTTATCTTTACTGGCTGTTCTCCAATGTTTTGTTCACAGGAGTGTAAAATTCACAACTTGGCTCGTGAATATTGTAAAATATTCTCTGCAGAAGCAAGAGCCATTGAAAATTTTGGATCTACTCTTGAGTGAGTAACAACACCTTATACTCCATCAAAAGTTGACAGCATGAGGTGTCCTATAGTCATATGTCACGAGGATCTTTGTTCCGCAGGGTGCTTCCAGTCTACTTGATCTACAGACCAGCAAACACTGTCCCCTATGCCACAGTGGAGGCTGATCTGACAGGAGTCTATCAGAAATACTGTGTCCTGGATCACATGGGCAGAACAGACATGAGAACTGGCTCTGGACTGGAGCAGAAATGCTGTGCCTTGCAGCACTGGACCTTTCAGTGGACCAATGGCAATCTGTTACTCACTCGGCTAGAAGGTGGGCTTACACCTGAATTCAGCACAGCACTGTAGAGTTACTCTGCTGCTTTAAGTTTCACAATTACAGAGTTTGTGTTAAAATCTAGCATACTGAAGAACAATGTTTGTGAGGCTCAGAACTGGTCGACAAATTATACACCTCACTTTCACTTACCTTCGTGTGACAGCAACAAAATGTTTTTTGCAGAACTGCCTAAAAATTTACCAAAGGTTAAAGTCTTTCGCCTCCACGATGCACCATTTGTTACACATCATGTTCTGTGTTTTGAGAACTTCTACCATCCTTCATATTTTCCTGTGGTGACGATCGCAGGTGTGTCATGTTTGAAAATGAGCAACACGACAGTCAAGTCATTGCATGGTGCTGTTTTTCAGGTGTTGACACTAAGATCACCAGTGTTGGGATTGCAGTCAAATCTACAGGGTCAGTAGATTTGTGTTGTGTTGTTTCTGTAAATTATACAGTGAAAACTCATTTTACAGCTAATTTACACTTACCCTGATCACACCTGTAACATTTGGTTTTTGTGTATGTTGCTGCAGACATCAAGGTCTCTCTCTTGAAGGGAACCCCAAAGTTTTTGAGCACTTTATCTCCCAGCACCAGTGTAACTACTTCTGTGGTCTGCTTGGCCTGAGGTCACTAAAGGTCATGGATGCCTTATCAACACCAGCAAAGCCCAAGGGCTCCAGGAGCCCTTTGCTTCAACGCAAGACGGCTGCTGGGTCCTCCAGCCCCCAGCTTGGCCGGAAAGCTGCTGGCAGCCCCAGGCTGCCCCGGAAGGCTGAGCAAGATGGCAGAAAGACCCCCACCACACAAAACGCTGCTGATGCTCCCAAAGTTGATAAGACAGTATAGGGTGAATATCTCTAAATGGCTCATCGGAAGTCACAGAAGGTCCTCAGGAAGGCCTCGTTCTCTTCAAACACCAGGGAACGAGATGATTTAACTGTTTAATTTTAACAGCTACCCTTTGTTTCTTGCCATGATCACTTGTGGATTGAAGCCCTCACATGCTGTGGAGTGTTGTTCAAATCCTAGGGCTAAAGCTGTCGTGTAATAATAAGTATTAGTTTTCCTGGCTTTGTATCCTATCAGTCCATGTACCACTGGTCACAGACTGCAAACACCAATCTCACGTTAGTGTGTTTGTACTACATGGATATGAGACATTAAAAATTTTGGACTGAAGTGGCATTATACTGTATGTTGTGTATCGTATTTGTAATTTTCAATGTATGAGCACACAATATAGTCTTTTGTGATCTCTCTTGTCAGTTAAAACAAAAACAAACATGATATGGATACATGCTTATATTGCATGTTTTAAAGAACTTTTTCAGGAATATATCAGGACAAATGTAGCTTCACATGACACTGTTGTACAGTGGCTGATGGTGCTTGGTTTTGTTACTGGAACCTATCATGTTTACTTGCTATTTTACATTGCACTGCATTTTTAGAAACTGCACCTTTGAATGCAACCGGCTGTAAAATAAAGGGTACTGTATAATTAGGCCTTGTATATTTGGAGATGCTGTGAAAGTGCATGATGTGTGCTTGTTAATATCTATCATTTTTAATAGAATGAGCACAGTATGGAGTGAGTAATGAACATCATCCCATTCAGTCTATCTGGCATCAGCTTTCAATATCACCTGGATAGATAAGGATGCCAGTGTTCTCTCAGAAGCTCCAGTTATCTGAGGGGACTCCGTCACATTTCTTTCTGTCATTGTACTGACATGTCATGAAGAGACTTGTCATATTTGGGCTGATTATCTAAGACAATTTTAATACAGCAACACTTTTACGAAGCCTATATTTTGTCAGCTACTTCAGAGTTTTTAGAAAAGCTGATTGACTTTGCTGTAGCATCCTTATACTATAGCAATGTCAGTTTATTTATAAAGCACACTTAAAAACAGCATCAGTTGGCTGAAATGCATACTGTTTCATAAATCAGGCATAAAAGAGACATGAAAAAAAGAAAGCATATCACTCAGACTATACTTAAAAGTAATAATGAATAAGATAATAGAGAAACTAGATTAAAAACACACTAGATTACAGACATGAAAAAAGAGGTAGCCACATCATAGTGGAGCGTGATCACATTTGTTAATTAGCACTAAACCCGCTGAGGCTGATGGGAATATCTTTAGTTATAAAGCTCTATGAGGTATTTAAAGGTCAAAGTGTTTATTTGTGATAGAGCCTTGTCATTAAGGGCTTTGTATGTTAGGAGAAGGATTTTAAATTGTCAAATACGTGTATCACTAAAAACCACAAATATCATCCTCATGATTGCTCTAACCATGAATATCTGTACAAAATTTAATGCAATACATCTAATAGTTGAGGAGACACTGTCAGGCTGTGGCCAAACAACAGCACAGCTACAGTTACAGAGCAATTTTCTTATCATCTGGAACCAAGGCAACTCATACATTTAAAATGAACGTCCTACAAGATTCATCATTTCATGTTGAAGCATTTTGTGAATGTCTAATATGAGAAAATAGATAAATTGTAGCTAAAGAAGAGACTGTTTCTGTGAGGTGTTGTTTGGCTAACAGCAGATCGGGGGGTTAAATCAGATTCCTCCACAGACATGAGAGAATGACGTGTTGCCAACAGCCAGGCTGTGTTTACAGGGTGAAAGGCTACTTCATCATGATAATCATTTGTGATTTTGGTCATTAGTGAGTCATTGTTTATATAAGCGAAGGCTTGCTGTGAACATACATGTAGACTTGACAACAGTGTTACCTTGGTGTCACTCCTGATGTATCTTGGCAGCGTGAGAGTGTTAGATAATGTCGACGGACAAAGAGATGACAGACAGTCATGTGTGAAGTTTTCATGGCACAGGCCACGTTTGTTACAGACTGTCAGGGCTGGCGGCAGCAGGACAAAGGTAGAAGGTGCGTCAGTGAAAATGAACCCGCTTCATAAGCTGTCATGTTATGTCCACTTTTACCATTAGTATTTACAAGATTACAGAGCACTGTGCAAAATTCTAACCATTACCTTTTACCGACTTTTATTACTCCTGATGTGTTCCCAGTTTTCAGTGAGGGAAATAGTCTGAGAGCAAAAAAGAGAACAGACACAGCAGTATCTGGAACAGGACTGACAAAAACTGACATCTGGCCTCATTAAATAATTCGTAGCGTTTCCTCCACTAGTTCTGTGTTGTCTTGTGTCCACAGGATACTGAACCAGGTCTGCTCTGGTCCTTACTCCTTTCAGCAGGCATGTTTGGTAGGCTGGATGATGACCCGCAGAGCTAACAGAGGGATGTGGTGTGATATCAACATAGAGCAGGTTGAGCCTATAATGACCCAACACACTTCTGCCATCTACTGTTAGTTTAACCATTCAGTGCATCCATGGATGGAAATTAAGGCAAATTAAAAGCCTGTTTACCTCAAATGGTGTGTATTTTTATTTGACCAAACACTGTATGTGGAGATACTGGTGTGACAGCTTGGTTTAACTGGGATGTTGTTAAAATCATGTTAATTCTATATGTTGCTGCTATTAGACTTTTTATATGTTTAAATGTTATTGAATTGGCAGTTTTTCAATTTGCAATGAAAAGTAAGCACAGGAGAACACAGAGAGGGACTGTAGCACAATAAAGTGTTTTGTTTAATTACAAAAACTCACATATTCATCACACAATCTGAACAAAATTAAAAGCATTTATGGTGTATGTAAAAGATTATCCACAACAATGTTGCTGAGTGAAAAAATATCATTCTGGAAATTAACTCAAATTATCCTGTAGCTCATCACGCTCACGTCATCTGTTTTTAAAAAGTCTCATTTGTCTGAGAACAGTAACGTCAGATAGTTAAACATACTTTAATCCTACTATTTCTTCCAAGACGTTAGACTAACAAGTTACAAATGAAGCAGGAAAATTACAGAGAAAAGATGCGCTGGCACAGCTCTTCATGCTGCACTGAGTGGCTCTGACTGTACCCCAGCATTAATGCCCACGATAAGCCACAGCAAATGAGAGAATTCTAAGTCCTCAACTGTAGAAATTTGCATGAGAATTTGGACTTCAGTAACTGGCCCTTCATTTAAATAATGAGACTCTGGCACTCAGACCCTTTAGCACGTTAGACACATCTGCAGCACCAAGTTGCATTCATTCACTGGCAATGTGTAAAAATAGGCTCCACACAAAAGATCTAGTTTGCATATGATTTTGATTGTCCTAACAGGTAGGAGAGAAGGAGAAACACTGCTCTACAGAAGCGTCAAAGGGCTAATCCAGGACATAGAAGAATATCTTTACAATCAACCAAACATCAGTGATACATTTGGGATGTACAGTCAGTAAATTTCATTAAGTTAAATGGAAGAATGGGTGGCATCCTCTCATGAGACTGCCTGTGAGTCTGACCTCACACTGTTGTACTTGTCTGACCTCATTTACCAGTGGCGGGCCAGGGGAGTCGAGACCATTTGGGCAGATTATATGAAAAAGATCACACATTCCTAAATGCCACAGACGAGCTGGCATTTGAAAAAGTTTTATCTCTATTTTGACAAAAGTCTGTGGGTGCACCTGGTCTCGGTGCCATCGCTGAGTTGACTGTCAGTGCTGAGCTAATCTGCCTTATCACAGCCAGCTTTTGCTGACTATGAAATAATGACCTTCTGATGCATATCACCTCATTTCCTCTCATGGGAGAATTTAAAGGCTAAATCTGAATAAAATCAGTGTTGCCTAAATACTGTATGTGCATATGCACAAGAATGGCTGTCCAACACAGAGCGGTGTGATCCCCTTGTCAGATGCTGAGGAGGACAAGAAGGTGAGCAAACAATACGCTGGTAAACAGAAACAAATTGGCTGAATTAAAGATATGTTTCATTACAGCCACCTCTGTGTCAACAGGTATCTTTAATAATATTTACATCTAGGAACATTCATATTCACAAAGCATTGTGGGAAACCTCGAGCAGCTTCAGAAAGGTTTTCACAGCATCAGCTCAAAAAATGAATATAATACTATGACAGTAACATAAACTTTTATCATTGACGCTGTTCAGGATTAATTTTGTGTTACATGACAAGAATTATTACAGTTATTAAACCTAACTTTTGGCATTTAAATCTTTTGGGTTACATTTTATGATAAGGTACATTTCCAAAGCATCATGTTAGCAGGACATAGCCTGAGTCACTGTGTGTCTCTGCTGACAGTGTGTCACAGGAAAACTAAACAGTGCTGCTGAATCACACTGCATCAGGAAGAAACAACACGCAACTCAGTAAAACATGGAGTCCAGAGAGAAGTTAAAATGAAGTTCTATACATTGTGGGGACTAAAACACAATAAAATATGAGTCACATAAAGGTCTACATGAAACCTGAATTTTTAATAATCAATCAGTGACTCAAACACACGTGAGGTGACACTGATAATCCCCACTCACTGAGTCAACAACCAAAACACAGCCACTGTGTGCTCACTAATTCTGTTATCACTGACTCAATCAAACATACTTCCTCTAGGAAATGAGATGCGGTGCAAATTAAAGATAGCAGTTAATAATCACTGGTGATGAAAATATCTTTGAAGTGTGTGTGTGTGTGTGTGTGTGTGTGTGTGTGTGTGGTGGGGGGGGGTGCGTTAGATTATTACAGTCTTGTTTAGGAGATAGTCCAGGAGTCAATTAAGGTTGTAGTGGAAAGTAAATTCTCACATATTTTATTTGAAGCATTTGATTTAACAATGTATAATAGTACCCATTAATATGTAAAACATTATTAAGGCAGAGTGATTGTTTTATTGGTGGTTGTTCAGTTTATGATCATAACTACATCACTGATTACAAGCCTCAATTCATTTGGCTGCATTGTTTACTGCCTGTTTATACTTCTTATTTTGCATTGTTTGCCCTGCTTGTTGCTTGTTAACACAGCTTATTTTGTTATATTACACAGCCTTAAGATGGTTTACTGTTTACTTGCGCCTTGCATGGGGATATGTACATACACATTGAGAGCCGATGTACCAGAGTCTAATTCCTCGTGTGTCGGACACACCTGGCCAATAAAGCAGATTCTGATTCTAATTCAGATTTTTTTGGCTGGTCCCAGTGTTTGACCTTCTGTGAATAAAAAGATAAATCAAATAATCCAAAGAATAATGTGCAGATTAGTCGGTGACCCCTGTATTATTTTTAAATTACCGCTCATTTATTCTGGGGTATCTTTTGATTTGCCACCCGTGTGTATCAGGCTATTTTTCGAACAGACACAAGTAGCTGAGTCCCGATTCTTTGCTCCCTCCCTCTCGTATCCTGAGCTGACAACTCAACCCAGTGCTCACAGCGAGGGCGGGACTTCCGCTTGTGCGCACCCGGAAGTTGCGGATGCGAGTTTCACGGTTTGACTGTGCATCCATATGTTCGTTTCTTTTAACGTTTTAATGTGATTTAGACACGTTTACTTTTGCTTTCCACAGTCTTATTTGCAACAATGTTATCTTTAGATTTTCTTGACGATGTTCGTCGTATGAATAAGCGGCAGGTAGGTATCCGGACGGCAGTTTCCTGTGTAGATACTACTACCTCTTTGAATCGTCTCGCACCCCAGAGCTAACGTTAACTAGCCGCCGATCGCTTTATATCGCTGCAGCGTGTCTGTCATTTGTTAGCGACACACAAAGGTTCTCCCTTATCCAGCAGCATAAAATCTACAATGAAACCTTGTCAAACAGTACAGTTGACTTCTGTGTAGCTAGCAATTTCCCTCATTTTTCTCCAGTATTGCTAGTATACAGTCAGCTAAAGCTGTTCTTACTAGTGAGTCACCAGTGATTTAACAGTTAAATCAAATGTATGAGCACAAACCAAGAGTTAGTTAAATTGGTCCTGGGCTACCTTATACCTGTAGTGGTCTCATTGATAACGTTAGATATATAGATATATGGTTATTAATAGAAACACTTTCCAGCTCTATTACCAGGTGCTGAACTTTGGTATGATAGTTTCCTCAGCGCTGATGATCTGGAAGGGGCTGATGGTTGTCACTGGCAGTGAGAGTCCCATTGTTGTTGTGCTCAGGTAAGTTAGTCACCTGTCCTGGGCTTTTGATTCTTGTCCTGGGTAATGAAGGTAAATGTGTCTGATGTCCTGGTGTTCAGCTCATTCTTTACCTGGCATGCATTTTAGTGCACACAGCTGTGAGCAAAACCAGGACGAGTGTACCAAGAATGAACTGAACACTATAACTTTTAACCTAAACAGTTAAAAAGAAAAAAGCATGAAACACATCTTTTTTTTCTGCAAGCTCCTAAGTGGATACAGCAGTATTCATGCACAGTTGCATGAAACAGGATCTTACTATAGCACAGCATTCACAGAATCACCTTTTGATTCTTTATGTGCACAAATGCTGAAGTTTTGTTTAGCTTAGCTGTGTGATAATGAATCCTCTCATCCATGGCTGTTGCTACAGTAGCGTTTATGAACAGCAAGTAATATACAGTTGGCTGTTGCAGTGAGAAATATCGATCAGATGCTTGTCACTCCCTGCAATTATTTTTGCCAGATCTTTCAGGGAAGTCATTCTTTTGACTGAATATTCATTTAGTGTTGTTGTATTACCTTTTAGGTATAAGTAATGTCACATATAAATCTTATTTAACCCCTGGTAGGTACATGAAGGGATGTCCTTAACACAGGTGGGTTTTTTGGTTGAGCAGTTGTGTTGAAAGTAGTTGTCAACATCTCTTGGGGCCTTGCAAGTATTAAGATTTGCTGTTGAACTTTGTTTCCTGTTTTCCAATTTTAAGAAAGTCAACCCTACAGCTGTTTTAAAAAAAAACACACCTCCCCTCTATAAGTTATGGGTCATTGCTCTTAAAGGTTCAGATAGCTGCTGTCAGAGTGGGAATGACCTAGTGATCTTAGTGATGCTAACTCATTTTGATTGTGTGTATCCAATGTTCACTTCAGTGGGAGTATGGAGCCAGCTTTCCACAGAGGAGACCTGTTGTTTCTGACCAACCGGGTAGAGGACCCCATCAGAGTCGGAGAGATCGTTGTCTTCAGGATAGAAGGCAGAGAGATCCCAATAGTACACAGAGTACTGAAGATTCATGAAAAGTATGAAAGAATGCCTTTTGTAGTATTGGTTTGTGTTGAAAAGTAATGCAGAAATGCTCAGAGAAGCCTGTGTGATTTCACACTTTACACCCAGTTCAGAAAACATGAATTAACCCCAACAACAGAGCGCCCCAACAGTTGTGGGACGTCAGGACTGAAAATGGGTGTCACACAGGATGACCAGTCATTTTATTTCAGTCTGTCAGTAGCCGTTTCCACACATGAACTCCAGACAATGTCTGTACCATCAGATCCAGACTTTGTCCAGAGTTGCCCTTTCATACATATAGCACACCACAGGAGGTAGTCCATGTCAGACGCGTTGTCCCCTGCTGGAAATACTCACCTGGGCAGAGCACACAGGAGGTGGGACGACACGTGGTCATGTAGCCAGTTTGTAATTTGGTCATAAACAACCAAGTCTCTTGCTGACAATTGTGGCGTCAGCTCTTAATGACAGAAGTTCTCAAGCCTCTTGACAGCCAGTATCACACACTTGGCTTCAGATAGCATTTTGCATTTACGTTCTCCCAGCTGCCGGCACCTCCTGTACAGAAGTTGTGAAAGACGGCAGGCTGTGATCTGCCAGGCACCAAAGTGTGGTCTGTCATATCCCTTACCAAGTTACAGCAAGAGTTTATGACTCTATAATCATGTAGTCTGACACAGTGACCATCTTAAAAGGGAAAAAAATATAATGTAGTCTGGACCCAGCATTAGTGTATTCAAATAGAGGACGCTGTGAATATTGGGACCTAACATCATGCTGATACTTTGTCTACAGGGAAAATGGAGACATTAAGTTTTTGACCAAAGGGGACAACAATGCAGTGGATGACAGAGGACTGTACAAGCAGGGCCAACACTGGCTGGAGAAAAAAGATGTGGTGGGACGAGCTAGGGGGTGAGTACTTTGGCCTAAAAGGCCTCAATACTGAAGATATATCAATAACACTTTTAATACAGATGAACCTGATCTGCTGTGTAGCAGAGGTCACAAGCATCAGTGAGATGTTTCTGACGTCTAGCAGAGAAGGTGTGTTTAGATTGAACCTGGATCCTTCTTGTTGTGAGGCTGTTAATCGACTGATGAATATGTTGCATGGTCGTTGCTGCTACACTTGAGTCTTGAGTTATATTGACATGGTTCACCGTTATTTCCAGCAGGACTTTCTAGTTTTACTTTAATGTCTGATCCCATGTGCAAACAAGAGTTTTAAATCAAGTGGATTTTTATCACAGACAGTCCAGGAGGGTGACAAGCAGTTTCTAGAGAAAAGTTACATAGAATCTTAAACTGATGTTTGTAACTAGACTGCATTTATGCATTAACTGCATTTGTCATTTTTTTTGACGGTGACTATTCTTATCTCCAGGTTTGTGCCATACATTGGAATTGTGACCATCCTCATGAATGACTACCCCAAGTTCAAAGTGAGTGTGTTGACCCTGTTCTCTAGTTCCAGCTGACCAACGTTCCTGGGTTGCTTTCTGTTGGTTACATCTCCTGTTTTCACTCTGCAGTATGCTGTTCTCTTCTTGCTGGGTTTGTTTGTGCTGGTCCATCGGGAGTGAAGCGCCCAGGCCTCTGAACTGGAGAAGGATCAGTTACGTCCAGGAAACCTCAGTCATGCCTTTCAAAACAAAATTAAGTTAGATTTTGTCAAACTCAACTGGCTTTTTGTACCATTTATTTGAACATTTTGTAGAAATGTGGATGGGGTGTTTATCCAAGCTTTAAAAGTATTTTTGTGAGGGAACTAGACCAGATTCAGTTTGAAGTCCATCTTTATTTGTAATCCTCAAAATGTGATGGAACATTCTTAAAAGACAAATTCTTGTTTCCTTCCTGTTGAATCATTGTGTTTGGAAAAAGATATGTTAAGTATTTTATCACGACTGAATATTAAAGATGTTAAATATGAAATCTAGTTACCGTCCGCTGTGGATTGTTTTAGGTCCTTGTCTTGAAAGTGGACTGTTTATTGTGACCACTGCCGTGTTTTTAAATTAATGTACAGAATCACATTCATTCACATAAAAGTTGGCCTGTCCTCTGTCTAGGATCTGTTGGAGCAAGTGAAAGACATTGTTTTTATTTAAAGAGAGCAGTAAAAGCAGTGTTACTAATCCTACATTAAGTTGAGCTATGTCATTTAATAGTAAATTAGTAAAAATATGTGATGTTTTTTTTTTATTTGTAAAGAAAAACATCCAAATGTATGAGATCAGTACTGACTACAGTTAGAGTGAGTTTGCAGGCGCTGCCGAAAATAATTTGTGGCTCACATTTTCTGAATGAACTGGTGCAGTGGTTTGTTTGACAGCTTTCTCACAGGAGCAGGCTGCAGGCTATGTTTCTTTTACTGTGGGATGAGTGTAGACCTGCTGTGAGCATTGACCTGAGGGTCATTGCACAAAAGTAGTAGTAAGAAAACGCAAGATGATAAGACAAAGCGAGGTTTTACCTAGTCTGCCTTTGTGAATGCACTTAGTAAAGCGAGGCTGAGGAGGTGCGGCTTTCCTCAACAAACCTCGAGATCGATCACAGATTCACGGATGCTGACATAGAAGCTGTGTTCCATTTGGCTGTGCCACTACATCACTACATGTTTACAGTTGTAGGCATACAACTCTCCATAGTATCTTAATTTAACCTACTTTCATGCACCTGAGGCAGGGCTAAATTCAGCTGGGATAACTGGAACATCCCAGCTTAATCCCTTATCTGGTTTTGTGCAACCTGGTCACTCACGATCGCATGTCAGTGTTGCTGCAGTCAAGGAGGATTCTGCTGAGGCTATCCATGGAATCATCATACAGGACTGTATACGTAGATCCACATGAAACTCTACTGGGATACTTTTAACTGAAAGTGATTGCATTTGGCTGCAGTTCTTCATTAGACCTCAAAGGCCTTGACCCTGTTTACCAGTTAGACGAACTTTACTTTCATTCTCAGCTGTACCTACAAAATTACTACATGCTACATGGACAATTTCATCTCAGCCCGTGAGAAATTACAGAGATTAGAAAATTAAATCGGTCTCAAAGGAGTCACCTTAAAACCCACTGGTTTTAGATCAACTGTTGTTGGTGAGGCGCTGTGAGTTGTGGAAAGAGCTCCAGCTTTTACAGTGGCAGAACAAAGTAACTCCAAGTGACCCCCAGCTTCCTGGGTTCATCTAATCTGTGAATTTATGAGTGAAGCCCTGATGGTCACGCCTTCTTCTAATTAGCCTGACATTCAGCGGATCAGAATATCTCAAATGCCAAAGGTTATGAAAGGTCAAAGACAGGAGCTGTAGCTTTCCCAGAAACTTACAACTTTAGCACCCTGAAGTGACAAACAGGCCTCTGTCTTATCAGCTCTAAATTAGAGGCGAGAATCAGCGGGTTCTCCTGTCCTCAGAGGACGGATGGTGATCACAGCAGCATGCTGCGACTGGCCTCACGTCATGTTGCTCATTGTATGGGGCCAGGCCTGATCCTGGGAGCCGAGGGAGGCAGAGGGACCTGGAAATTACTGCGTTACTCTAGAGAGAAGCTTTAATTAACAGGGATGCCATTTCACGGACCCGACGGCACAATTTACACCAACAGACCACAACCTCCAAAACGCCATTTTAGTGTTTACCCGTTTGTTGAGCTTTTATGGTTACAGTATAGGTTGTGTCAGTTTAATATGAGCTATAAGAAGATTATGAATGTATTCGACGGGAATTTAATCAAAGAAACAAGCTGTTGGTACTAGATATCCTTACTATCTAGCCTTTCATGCCCCCAAACTACTGTGAACTGTTTGAGCCTTTAACAGGAGAAGATAATCAATCAACCCCCACTGAATATTTGTGCACTGGTATATTGCTACTCATCTACTTGGATGGCTGACAAGACCGTTTTTCACCAAACATTCGCATCTGCCCTGAGTTCAAAATGAATTGTGTGGTGCGTAAAAGACGCGCGTCCAGACGCGGAGTGACGGAAATGGTCTGTAATTGCACTCGAGACCAACTATGTTTCGGTTTATTTAGCCGGGTGAGTGAAATGACACGTAGTGTAAACAGAGCCCTCCCCAGCCAGGGGAGCCTATAAAGGCTGGATGTGCCCGTGTGAACAGGAGACACTCGGAAGTTTGCGCCCCGCAGGACAGATCGCCACTCGTAGAGATGAGAGGGTTTACACTGAATCATGTTTGCCAGTGCGGCTTTTTTAGTTGTCTCGTCTTATTTTCTTTCATGTCTTTTACGGCTGCAGTAAGAGTCGACTTGACCGAGCTTAGGAATAAAGTTGCAAAAATTAAAGTAAATCCAAGAGGCAATCTGTGGGCTACAGGTAAGAATCATCTCCTAATCCACCTCACTGTAGAGCAAACGCTCATATTGTCATATATTTTCCACAGAGTGAATTTATTTTGACATTATCACGTTTTCTTTGCTTTGATATATGTCGATTGTGCCACGTCAGAGGTTTTTCTCTTTGAATAGCGTTTGTCTGCTTTTTTTTTTTTTTTGACAGGACATTTCATGGGCAAGAAGAGTGTGATGGATACCCCCATGTTGCCTCCGGCTGAAGGACAGGGCGCCGATGCTCTGGAAGTCAGCCTTCCAGCCGAGCAAAGCGCTCTCGGGGAGCTCTTCCAAGAGTTTCTGAGGGTGGTGTTACAAGCGCAGGTGGATACACAAGACAGCGGCTCGAAAGACCAGGTGAGGACCACTCATGTCCGAATGTTCTTTGCGCACAAAAATGACAAACAAATGAAAATTGATCTGTATTTTTAGTTTGATGTCATGGGTTCTGTTTCAGGAGGCAGACTTGCTGATGAAGATTTTAGAGAGCTACATCCGAAGCAGAAAGTGATGAGAGTCTGGCGCGCATGAACACGGATCATCTGGACTCATGGGTTAAAATAAATGAATCAGGCACAGTCTCCTGCTCATCATGATTGTAAATCACCGCAACTGTCATACCTAGCCTACAGCTCATGTGCCATTTGCAACCGAGTTTTTCTCAGTTTATTTTGATGAAAATACTTCATATGGTCTTGTTGTTTAAAGCTATTTATATTAAATAAAATAATTATTTGCACTGCTATGACTTTGGCAGATAAATCATGACTGATGGATCGTGTTTTAGTTTACCGAAATCATATCTCAGTTTACACCAGCACAGAATTACTGATTTTACGTGACTAAGGCATCACAGTTTGGCCACAACACTGGGCTCCTCTCGTTTCCGCTGACAGGACTGAGCTGTGCAGACGCTTCTTAGACAGATGACTCGTCCGCTTAATTCATCGTGGCCTCAAAAAAAAGAGGAAGTAGGCCACAGTGTGTGCGCACAGTTTGTGTGAAGTAAACCTTTATAGGCTACTGAGTTTGCCCACTTATGTTGGCATAGCTCACCTCACAGCTATTTTGTAAGGGCAAAACAATCACCTACTTGTTCCGTCTGGGTTTTATACTAAAGACATATCCAAAATAACACTTACATAAATCCAAATGTAGGCAGCATCCTGCACAGCCTGTGAGTCACATTGTCGAGCTTCCTAAATATTTGAAAATGAAGTCACTCTTCTTGTCCTTTAAGTAAATGGATGATCTATGCTCTAGATCAATAATGGCCAAATGAGATAGGCCACGCAGCTTCTTTGCCTTGGGCTAATCCATTACTATTACCGGGCAGGCAACAGCTCGATGCCTCCCACAGCGTCTGTGGCTTTGCGTCACTGTTAAGGTTTGCGCTGTGTCCAAAGTAGTGAGTGTGAAAGGACAGTGGCCTGGCATCTTAATTAAAAATAGTAACCTGTCAAATGAAGGAGATTCATAATGGTTAGCTCATATCTGAAGTTATCTTACATAATGTTGTTTTAGCTGATCGGTTTAACGGTTCCCAACGACAATACATTAATAACAATCTTTAGTCTGAGTACTGTTGTTGCAGAAGGATTTTTAAAAGGCAGGATTTTTGTATTTCCGGAAAGTGAATGATGGTGTGAGAGAAGAAACAGAAGAGATGGAGAAACTCAGTGGAGACAGAAACATGAAGAAAATGAAGAATGAGCAAATGACTTAAGATTTAAAGAAAAGCATGAAGGAGGAAAAGACAGAAACTGATTCAGAACCAGGAGGCAGGCTGACAGAAAAACGTACTGCCTCTGGATTCTTGACTGACCCATTGTTTTAGCTAGATTAGATGTAATAAACTGAAAACTGGGTGTGTTTTCACAGGGAAAAGTCTAATTAGGTCCTTGCTCACAAGAATGAGTCAGTGATGGGTGATTGGCAAAAGATTGACTCTTTTGTCAAACAACAACAACCTGGAGTGCCTGGAACTTTCAGGTGCTGAACATGGTCCATAAATAGGTTAGTAGGTTAGAAAACTGGGTGCAATTTGATGAATAACCCTGTTGAATAATAAATTAGAGCCAGCATGAAAGGATTCAGACCTGCACCCAACACTGACATGGAGTGAGTAACTTAAAAACATATATTATTGCATTTTCCAGCCATAGTGGATTATTTTTGCCATTTTGAAACACAAATACTGTATATTTTATGAACTGATTTGTAATATCTTCATGATTGCCTGGATGTTAATATGTTGCACAGTAGTTCAATGTGTTATTACAACCATTATCTATTTCTCTGCCTCCATGTGTGTTGTGTTGTGTTGTGTGAATGAATGAATGAATATAACTGCACTCCTATAACTTAAACATGTGGCAGAGTTGTAATGGTTTGTGTGCACAGATCTCCCATGATGCTCCACTTTAACATCTCTGTGCTTTTGTTTAGTTTGATTAGCTCTATTGCTCAAATTAATGCTTCAGTCTTGTATACCTGCTCAGGTTTCTCCAGTATTCCCTCTAACTGTCGACCCACACAGATACACTGCTTCATGTGACTGAACTCACAGGATAACTGATGTTTGCCAATGAAAAAATATTTTCAAATGAAGACTTCAGGAAAAGAAAATGTTGTGTCTCCACACACATGAATTCAATCTACTCTTTTCGCATTTGTTGGAGTTACTCTAGTTCATGGTCATTATGAATTAGAGAGTCTTTCTGAGGCAGCTGAGGTGTAAATTTGACAAAAGTTCATTTCAGAAATATGTTCCTAATAGTTTGTGTTTATGGTATCCAACAATACCAAGAATTTTGTATTTATTATACACAGCATAAAGACTAAATGCTAGTGGAAGGTATGTGTGGTTTATCTGTGTTATGGCTATTAAATACAGTAACTCCAAACAGAAAATATCTATACAATAGAAGACACAACACTCTAGGCTGGGTCATGTTCAGCTTGTGGAATTTGTTACACCACATACTGGGGCTAAATAAAAGCAGATACAAACAATCAGAGTTCCTCATCTTTTATAGGTTAAATGTGACTTTTAATTCTAATATTTATTTTTATGTCAAGGAGACTAAGATCAGCCATCAGGCATTTTAACGGCTACAAGGTCATCATTCTAGTAATTTCTTTATTTCTTCATGTTTTAATAAACAGAAACATGATTTAATGCCTGTCACTTGCTTCTGGACAGTTTTGTCCTTTAAAGCTTTGGTTGTTTACCATACAAACTGTGCATGGATGATTTATGATTTTTGTCACTACACTGAGCTAAAACCGGCTGGAGCAGGGCACACACAGTATAGATACCGGCTTTCATCAAACTCGATTTGACAGTTCTAGGTGAAAGGTTATCAATCAGAAGCCTTGTCCCGCCCCCAAGCCCCCCCCTCTCACAACAGATGTAAATTTTATTCCCCCTCCACCCTCCTCTCTCAGGTCAAAGATCACCCCCTCATCACTCGCTCCCCTCCGTGGTCAAAAGTTCACCCCCCTCAGGTTCTCATAGCCCCTCCCTGCGTGGTCCCCTGAGGGGATAGCTGCTCACTCCCTCCTGATAGATGAATCTAAAAAATAAAGACCAGGTAATGATGCAGTTTGTAATGTTATATAGTGAATAAAACAAATGGTACATAGAAAGTATAGTAGTGATTTGTATATTAAATAGAGTTGAGCTGATATTTAGTTTCAAATGAGAAGACAACAGACGCCCCTTGAGTTCGGTCTGAGTAATTCCAGAGACGTGAAACAGCTATTTAAAAAAGACATAACCACTCTTATTGGGGTTTCTGTTTG